GAGCTTGATTTGGGGTTTTAATTTGGTATAAATGGGTCGGGTTCGGATTAAAAAGAGAAAAAAATGGGTTATTTAATTGAAATTGGGTAATTTTAATTGATTTGGGTTTTCCATCCAATTGAGGGGTAAATTTGGTGAAATTAGTAACGGGAGGGGTAAAAATAACTTCATTTTAACGGCGAGGGCGTAGTCAAACAATAAACCAAAGTTGAGGGGTATTTTTGACCCCTTTCCCTTAATTAAATACCCATGTTGTCCTACAATACTAATTATTTTAAATGTAAATAGAAGACAAAGTAAGGGAGTAACACGTAGCTACCCTTTCATGTTGTTTGTCTTTTCTAAATATGCATCAATTGTTACTTCATTGGTTTCTATTTATACATCACTATTTTAGATTTTACGTCTTTTTAGAAATTACGTAAGTTTATCTATTATTGTATTCTCTTATAATCAAATTTTCAATATATGAACATAAATTATTTTAATTAATTAAATTGTTCCAATAAATATGAATTAATCTTTTAATTTTCCTATATTGATCAAATTCATATAGGGTAAAATAGGAAAATAATACTATCATTTATGCATTAATTTTGTGAAATGACAAATATTAAGAATCATTTATTTTAGTATGATTGACACATAAATAGGAACGGAAAAAGTATAAATAAAATTTATATATACAATAAAGCTAAATAAAACCTAAGTGATGTGACACTTCTCAATGACCACCATTCATATTTAGCTTTTTCTTAACTTTTTGAATTTTTTTAAAATTTATTCTTTATTTATATGCTACTTATATTAAAAGGTTAAAAATCACTTTAAAATTATATTTTCTTAATTACACCTCCCTCATTTACTCCTTTATTTCCCATAAAAGAAATTCAGTTTATGATACCCAAAAGACTATCATTAATCCTCTAATAACTCCACCTAAAGGGTTACTCAACAAAATAAAAGGATCATTTATCTTCCTTGTGTTTAATTCTCATGACTTCATCTATCACTATATAAGTATAAGAAATACATGCTACATGTGACAAAAATTGCTATCATCTTAATGATTTAGGATATTATGGTTAAATATTTTTGTTTTAATGTTTATTTTTTCAAATTTTCATTTTCATCTTTTACATGTTCTAATTGGTTCCAACAAATGGAGTCTTGACTTCTTATTTTGCAGGTATATGTTCAAAAGTTAGAGGAGCGCAAGATGATCAAGATTCGAGACTAAGGAAATGAGAGTTTCTTATCAATATTTATATATAATATAAAGTTAGGTGTTAGAGAAGTGATGCACCTTTTTTTAAATCAATTATATTTATTTATTTTAGAATTTTATTTACTTATAAAAATAAATATGTCAATTAGTATTTCATCCTTTCATTTCTTATATATAAAGGAGAAACATAGAAAAAGTGATGTGACACTTTTCTATGACCTCTCTCTCTATATATATATATTTAAAAATTATCTCTTAATTATACATTTTTCTATTTATGAATTTTTAATTATTATACAAAAATGAATATGTCAATTACTACTCCTTCATTTATTCATAATCTTTAATCTCAAAACTTCATAGTCTTTATCTTCATTACTCCTATGACTTTTGATGATCATTACTCCTAAATTATATTAATAGTCATATATATATATATATCATAGTAGTAATTGACATACTCATTTTTAAAGAATAATTAAAAATAAATAAATGGAAAAATGTATAATTAATAATGTGTTATGTTTATAAATAAACACTCCTTTAATTTTCTTAATTTATGTTACATATACTATGTTAGAAAATTAATTTTCTTTAACTCTTTTAATTATGAGAAAAACTCAGAAGTCCCTTATTTAATTAATATTTTCTCACGCTATTGCATCCATCCCATTCAAGTTAATTGTTGCTCTTAAATAACCTATAAATAGGTTCTTTAAAATTTCAGTCTTTTTTAAATCTTTGGTTACCTATTATTATTATCTATTTTAAAGATATTTATCATCCATTATTGCCGTAGTTACATACTTATAGTGAATATGTATAGCACCAAAATGGTGTCTTTCACTATTTTTTATCCTCCATGTGATGAGTAACAAATTTTATGTTGCTTCCCTAATTTTATATATATTAGTTGAAGTGCTTAAGATTTTTTGTAAGTAGTTTGTTATTTAAAGTTCACCACGAATTTTAAATATAAAGTTTTTTCTATTGAACTATATGTACAAAAAAGTAAACTACAAATGTGTTATTTGAATTTCTGTTTTCAGCTTTCTTCTTATTGTGTTATCGTAATTCACATTGTTTAAAATTTAATCGTAGATTTGGTTAATTAGTTTTCAAAATTAAAGATGGACTTGTATGTTTGTATTATCTTTTCGAACAAAAAATAAAGAGCAAAATATACTTTTAGATTTTTTATAATATTGAGATATTAGAATAAAGATTAAACCACAAGCTTATAGGATTGTTTATTGTCGTGCGAAGCATGAACAAATTTACTATGAATAGGAACGAAAAAAATATAAAAAAATTATACATATATGGGAGAGAGAGAGAGACGGAATTTTCTTTTTCCAGATCTCAATGTCTTCATATAGAAATAAATAAATAAATAACTCAATAAATAATGTCTTCACATGGAATGTCATCGATCTCAACGTTAGGTATGCGATATTTTCTTTATGGTTTTTTTTTAAGTAGTAATTTATTAACTCAATTTATCTTAATTCATTTAAATTTAAAATTAATCTATTCATTTATATATATTAATTTTTAATAAAAGATTATCTACTTATAAAAATATTTTTCACTTCATTTAGTAAAAAGAGGATTTCCATGACTTTTAATAATATTCTTTTCATGTTTGTAATAAATACAGTGGAATTATGCCCAAAACGCTCTGTTTTAATTTTCAGTTTAGTGACTTCAACCTCATTGATTTCATGCTCAAACGCCCACTAAACACTTAGGCAAACTGTGTGCGGGTAAAAAATAGTATATTCGTATAAATCCCAAAAAGTAGCAGGAAATTACACTGAATGATCCTGCAAATGAATGGATCTTGAAATTATAAGGCCCATGTTGTATATCATAGGCCCATTTCTGTCTCTGGACCCCAAAGTCCCGAATAAATTGCCACACTGCGAAACGGGTCAGGGTCAGGGTCGGGTTTCGAGCTGGTTCCATGGAAGAGGACGACGGGAGGAGAGAAGCTGCCATCGCATCAGCACCATCTCTACAACCCAATTTCACCAATAAAAATGGTGTCAACCATGCTCAAATTTCCAAATTTCAAGTAATCTATTTATCGCCTTACTTCATATTTTCCTTATTATTTTATTTGCAAGCCAAAATGGTTATTGAGGATTTGTCTATGCTCTCTATAGTTATGTGAGAGTTTTGGATCTCCCAATTATTTATTGCATTGACCTGCATTCACAAATTATATGATCATTGTTGATAAAATTTATTACCTCAATTGAGTCCATGGAGATTTCCATAGGCATCAATTTGGAATAAGAGCTCATATTTTTGTGAGAGTTGTAGTACTATTTTGGAATACCCGCCTAGTATCCTATCACCTCTGTTATTACGTATAACTTCCCTCCAATACCTAGTACACCGAGGTTACCTAAGGAAGAACCATCAGTATTGGGATTGAGGCGTAGTTGATTGAATACGTCGAGGAAAACCAAGAATTGTCATTGGTTGTTTGTCCAAGCTTTATAACATGTATGTGAATTTCACAGTTTTCCAGTGGAGTTGTAAAGCAACATACTTTGTTGTGCTTTGCAAGGATGTTTGGTTGGTTCTAACAAATAACCTTTGGTTGGGTGAATTGGTAATTTCTAACTAAAATCATTGTAGGTTGATGTGTTTTGGCGTTCATCTCAACCTACAATGATAAAGCATAGCACACCACACACCATGTGACTTTCTAGTCTATGATTCAGCAAGTAACCCAAACTGTGGATCCTTATAAACCACATGTATATTCAAAAGGATGCTGAGCTATCAGTGTCACATGTCCAATATACACTTTTTCTAACAGTAATATCTAAAGCATTAATTAGAGTAAAACATTGAGTTGTTATTCTGAGAACACTAGAATTAATTGAAGGCCATCTGCCTCACCTAAGAAGTATTAGGTCCACCCGTGCACACTATTATTTGCAAGCTTTATGTAACACGTCCAATTAAGTATTTGCGAGCTTTTTCAGAATATGTAACTATGTTAAAACATTTCATGTTGTTCTGCTCAGAATGATATGAGTAACAGTTGGGCATTTTTACAGTTCTCAATCTTTATCCACATATACATTGATGTTCCAACTATGATCCCTTAAACATTTTCTCTAAGTCGTGGAGTAAAGGTTGCTTTGATTTTGGACTGTATAGATGGATACATAGTTACGAGATGATAAAATTGGTTTCAAAACTTCGAATACTGAGGTATAGGCTAGCGACAGCATTGATTAAATGTTAGACGAAGGAAATTCAAAATTTGCTTGCTGAGCTACGGGTTCGGGACTACATTAATTGAGCTTATGACATTTGGATATATAGATATGTGTGCGTAGTTGTTTTAGCTCTTTCTTCTTAGTTTGACTGGATTGATTTTTCAATATCATATTCTTTGGATTTGCTAGGAGTTGCATCAAAGACGCTTAAAAATAAAAGCAAAATCTAAGGTCAAGGATAAATCAAAAGGTATGTAGTTTGATTCTTCAGCACTTTGTTTACATTTTCAATGATTCATTTCCTTTTTTTTTGTTTATATTTTCTATTGGAAGTGAATTTCTAGTTAACATTTTGATGAGGAGAGGTTTTCAGGAACTCTTGTCTCCACTAAAAAGTATAATGGTGAAGATGTCAATGCTAAAAGCAAGGAAATCATGGATGGAAAATCAATAGAAACAGCTAAAGATCCGAGAATTACTTTGTCAATAAGCAGTACAACGGATCTTTCATCCTCTCAAGAAGACAACACACTGTCAAGAAAGCGGCAGAAGTTGCATTGGGGGTATGACCCTTCAAGATGTTTGCAATCATTATTTTTAGAACAAACTATTAGATTTTGTGTCCCCCAAAGCACATTTAACAGTATGTTACCTTTAGTGTTGTATTTGGTTGGTTATGTTTCTTTCTTTCTGATAATTTGATTTTGTATACCGTATGTTCTTATGAATGGTGCATTTTTCTACCTACTGTAGGCTCGACACCAAGGAGAGATGGGAAAGGAAATCCAATATGTAGAGTAATCAGCATCTGAATATGGAATGCTGCTACCTTGCTAGACAGCTCCAAGGAAGGCAGCGTCTTTGATCTACAAGTCATCATAATTGATCTATTATGAATTGAGATGATGTCTGACTAAATCATCTAAGCTTGTAATCCCAAGCTTAAGAGTGAAGATGTACATTGATTCCCAGGTTTATGAGGAGATGGGAACTAAGCCTCAGCTAAGGGTAGCTGCTAAATAACTTGATTCTTATAGGCTTGGCCCTTTTACTTGTAAATGCACTTGTTTCATTTGTGAAGTAATACTAATTTTTTTTCTTGCAAGAAGGAAAAAAGAACATGTAGTTTAGAAATTACAGCAAAGGAGACGAGTTTGTTAAATGTCATGGCTAAAAGCATATTTTTTCTCCATCTGCATTTTTCTTTGTTTAACCAATGCTTTATTTGTTTGCATTTTGCACTTAAAACTTCAACGAACCTTTCACACTTTGATAACACTCCGAAGGGGTTAGGATTATCCTAAAGTTCCAGACAGTGGAACTAAGCTTCAGGGATTTCTCAGTTATGAATTGGCTCACTCGTATATCATTTTAATTAATTGAAAATATATATGAATGCTCAATCATAGTTATATATTTATTGATGATTTGGTGTTAACACCCGATGCAAATAAAATCTTTAACCATCATTGCAGTTTCTGATTTACACTACGAAAATGATTACCAATTCATACGGGTATATGGAAGTGATAAATACATGATTTACATATATTATCATCTTGCACACCTACGGTTCACCCGTAGTCCACAATAATTAACAGCTGAAAAATACTGGTGAAGATGGGTTCTGAAATACTCAATCATACGCAGATCATCTTCCATAACAGTTACATGTTTTTACAATGTTCCATGATTCATGATGCCGGCGTACAAGAAAATCAAAGAGATAGCTAAAGGGTAAGTGATGCAACTCCAGTCTCGCAATAATAGGACTCCCAATGTGGAGAATCTCTTCAAAATCAAGACCCACTGGATGGCGGAAGCTGAAATTACTCTCAGCTGTTCATGTTGTACCACTCAAATTGCTGGACTTAACTCACGTTCTATCTCCTCCAGTGACCGCCCCTTTGTCTCCACGACGTTACCAGTTATATACACGACAGCAACAAGACAAGAGAGTGCAAATCCCATGTACACCGTACTGATACCAAATTTAGTTACAATGCTCAAGAAGTACAGGCCAATAAAGAAGTTCATTATCTGTTCAAGGAGAAATACGAGTTAGAAACAAAGTAAACATGGAATGAATGAGCCTTCAATTAATCTCACAGTGCTGCAAATACCACCACAGTGAAGGGCAATTAATCAATTCCTACCTTTTCATAGTCATCTTTTTAAAGCTCATGCCGGGAACATAGTAACAATCAAAAGCAAAAGATACTTCTCAAACAAAAGAAGTAAACAATAATACTCAACAAAATGCATATTCCGCTAAGCACCCTGGCATGTCATGTTACCCAAGAGGCGTGGCATTGAGAAACATGCTCAAAAGACATTTGAGAAAAACTGTCAGCACACATTTCAGCTTATTGTGATATTAGGACTTTGGCATAAAGGTTTGCTTCCAGTTAATCATGGAACGCCATAAATGATGTAGTTATAACCTTTTATTTGTCCCCCACCCCACCCCACCCCATCCAAAAAAAAAAGAAGGAAAAATAGACAGTTAGCAGCAAAAAGGGTACTAAGGTTTCCAAGCGTTAACTCACCCAATGTACCCCCAAAGAGAGAGCCACCGCTTTTGCCCTAATTCTGGAAGCAAATATTTCTGGAAGTAGAAGAGCAGGCACAGGACCAGCACCAAGTGAAAAGGACAACACATAGCTGCAGAGAAAAACGTAGCGAGAAAATATATATATTTTATTCCATTTGTTACAAAAAAAAATCATTTGCATTGACAAAGGGGAAAAAGAAGCTGGCCTAAACAGAAGAAATTGCTTCAGTGGAAAAAAGGAAGTAACGATCCAACAGCAGGGAAGCACATGATACTTACAGGACAGTACCAAGAACAGCCAGTGTGCCAGAATATGGAGTCAGGACCTTCCAAGTGAATGACAAGGAAAGTAACATCATTGATGCAGCCTGTGAAAAGAGAATACGATGAGAATCAGAAACAAAATGGATAGAACAAGATAAAGCTAAAAATAGATTAAGTCAGAAACAAGCCAAAAATCAGGACAATAAACACAAAATGTCCCCTCAGGCCTCATCATACGCATGCCTGGGTTGCAGCTAAGGAACCATCTTAGCACTGACAACTGGATGCAACTGGATGCATAAGAGCATGAGTTCAACTGCCAAGGATAATTAGGATAAGATGGTAAAAGTCTCAGGCAAGCTATCCCAAAGAGCTTCATGTTGAAATTCTCTCTGCTTGATGATTATAGTTGGATATTTCAAAGACCTCCCTTCAAATTTACCATACCACTAACTTCTCTTCTGGTTTGGATATTACACACACTCTCTAATTTGATTTTTTCATAACGAAACTTGTCTAAATGATATAAGATTTTTAAATTTTTCCAAAAGTGCTCTTCTAAAATATCAACTATTGAATGGAAATTTTTTCCAAAAGTGCTCTTCAGAAAGTTTCACAAATTCTCAGAAAATCACTTTAGTTGGAAAATTTTCACATATAAAGTGATTGCCTTTGTAATATTCATCTACGCTAACCTTCAAGCAAAGTGATTTAGGTATTGCTCTAGGCAAGGATTTAGGTTTTCAATCTCTACTACGTAAATGATTTGCATCACATTATAACAGGGTATAGCATTGCTACTTGCTAGTGCTAGATATAGATAGAATTTCTGGAAGTACAAGGTCGTTTAACAAGCATATATTTGCTTGTTTCTTTTCCCATGAATATTTTGCTGTTTTTTCATATGCATATACATGTGTATGTGCATACAAATGCCTACCAAAACCTTCAAATAGAATACATACATGTAATTAATCACCTAAGAGTAAAAATATCACATATTTCTCTAAGGATTAACCTCAATTCAGTTGCAAGTTGTAAATTTTCTTTGACATAGTAAACTCCATCTAGGACTAAAAATGACTTACCATTCCAGTATAGCTTATGAGCAAGAGACTCTTCCTTCCTTGTTTGTCCATCAAAGAGGATGCCACCGTTGTCCCTGGATGAATATGTACCCAATTAGAAAAATATATTCTATAGCCACAGATGTTACCAAAAACCTTGAGGAGAAGACTAACCAAAGACGTTGGCTGCTCCAACCAGAGCACTGGCTGCTACATCAGATGTAATTCCAGCACTCCGGAACACGGCAGTGGAATAATAGACGACAGCATTTATCCCAGCCAACTGCTGCAACAAGAACATAGCTGCACCAATGCTAACAACTGCAATGACGAGAACAATTAGACCATTTTGGTTGTACAACATGGCACAGAAATATCAGGAGCTCAAACTATCACATATATTTGGAATGATGGAATGAGTGACCATAGACTGATAATAGCACATTAGGAACAAACTCAAGTGGAGAAATGTGTGCCCACAAGCAAAAATCAGACAGGCTTTTATTGTTTGTTGAACAAACTAAGTTGTAAGTAACAGTTCTCTTCCAACCAGGAAAATTATGAAGGTTACAAATTTATTTATTTATTTTGAAATTGGTACTATTATAATCCTCTGCATTAAGGGTATGCTGTCCTCAGCATTAAGGATAAAATATTTTACAGAAAGATATGGACTCTAGATTTACAATACCTGAAAAATCTATAAGATCATCTACTTCCTGTATACAATTCTCTTAACACCAAAAAATAGAGAAACTATGCAATTCCATTCCACATCATGAATGGACTTAATTTATCTTCAAAGCATCTCCCATTATCTACGTATTTGGACCAATAAAAGCAAAAAATAAATAACAACAAAGTTGATTAAAAAGTAAAATGGAAACATGCACCAGACTAAACCCTATGCTTTGGTGATTATCAAGGTTTTGGAACTTAAGCAAAATAATTGACATGTTTTTCTTTATTGCAGCAGAGCAGAACTACACACCACTATCCGAAATTCCTAATGATGGTGGCGCAGGATAACAGCCAAAGGCAGATGTTAACAATTTGATGACAGGTACAGAAATTTAAATTTGTTCTTGAACAATATATAGGGAAGTGTTAGACCTAAGGATATAAGAACTGAGCTTCAGACGCTTATAAGACATGCATCATCAATATTATCTACAATACAGAATGATCAAAGATATACCTTTCCTATAACGGCTACTAAATAGATCAAGCCACCCAGCATCTGGTTCTGAAGAACCCCGGGCAGAAGCTTCCAAGTCACCCATAACCTCAGCAACTTTTTCTTTACCATATAGCCTTTTAATAGATGTCTCAGCTTCAGAAATTCTCCCTTGCTGCAGGATAGAATTGGATAGTTTAAGACTAAAAGTCTCTGACATAGATTGTAGCTGTAGACAGGATATCCATAATGAAGATTTCAAACTAGAAAAGAAAGATCTCATGAGAAACCTGATAGAGCCACCGAGGACTTTCAGGAGAAAATGCCATTCCTATTGCAAGTAAAACAGATGGAATAAGTGCGAGACCAAACATTGTTCTCCACCTGACATATGAATTGGAGACATGTAACTTAATGGATTTAAACCCAAATATTTAAGTATTAACAAGAAAACTGCGGAGGTTGGAAAAATCCATGCTCGTTAGAGTTTTTGAAGTATGGCAACTACTAATTGTAGGACCTTATTCATTTGTGAACAAGGTAGATGGAAAAGTATATTTAGAAACACCAATAAGACATAGTAGTCATTCAAATGGCAGATGAGGGATATGGAAGTAGAATATGCAATAAAACCAGAAACAAGCAAATAAGTAAATAAAATAGCATCAACGGGTAATCCTGTGAGGGAACTTGCTCTGGCGTCATCTAGAAAAGTTAAAAGTCAAAGTACACAACTTGATTTTAATTCTTCCCAATAGCACAAAAAAAAGTTGATTAGAGAAAATATTCCCTATAGTTCTTCCCAATAGCATCAAAAACCGTTGATTAGAGAAAATATTCCCTAAGCATGAACAGTTTTGGCATCTGGGACATTTCAAAAGGACCACTAAATGTCAAAACTACAGAAACAGAGTATTGCTATTTGCTTTAGAACCGAAAAGCTGGAGTACGGCACTCTTAATAGAAATTAAAATCATTGGGGATAAACAATTATCATTTTACTTCAAATTATTTCTCAAGGAAAATCAAACTCAAGTCACAATAAAATCCCCTGATGAAAAAAATCATAAAATCAATGCAAAACTTATAAAGTTTGAAGAAAATAGATAATAAACAAACCTGAGTACTTA